GTTGATTAACATAATCCACTGTGTGAACGAATATTATAGAATTTATTAATCAGCAATTACTTCATTCAAAATTGTTATATAGTACAGTAGCAAATAAGTTTTACTTCAATCGCGTGTGAACCTTACGCGCACTTTTTTTTAATTTTATATTCTTTTATTTCAAGTATCACATACTTCCTTTGAAAATCATATTGGTTGGTTTGATAATCATATTGTTTTCTACATACTTATTCCATTTTACATACTTTTTGAAGTCCTATTCTCAGTGGCGTAACTAGGCCATCCGGGGCCCGTAGCAAATTTTTTTTATGGGGCCCCCCTATCAGTAAAATCAAGTGGTTTTAATTTTATTTAATTTAAAAAAACTCGAAATTTTTCAACGTGTTAAATGTTATATATATCCACGATTTGTAATGAATTGTATTGAAAATGAGTAAATCTAATTATTTAAATCGAAATTATTTAAATGTATGTATACAAAAAATTTAAAAAAAAAATTAAAATGTATAAGTACAAAAAACCATAAAAATAAAAATATAAGTCAAAATTAATTAATTTAAAGTACAATTACTGCTTTGTTTTGAAAATCAAACATAATTTTTTTAAATTTTTAATTAGCTTTATAAGCTACATGTTAAGATTGATATTTTGTTTTTACAAGCAGTCTTTACAATCCATTCCTTTGCTAATTTTTGAACAAACTACTAAATTAACTTTGATTTTTTAATTTGCATAATCTATTCAAGAAATGACTTAGTAAAAAGTTAGTTTTCTATTAGTCATTATTTGCATACTATAGAGCTTCATAAATATTAAAGAAAATATTTAAAAAACATCACAACACTCTAAAATTATATTTTTACATTCTTACACGCTCATGGTTTTTTTTCGAAATTAAATTTATTTAGAAGAAAATTTTCATGTTTATTCTAACTTTTGTTATTAGTGAAATAAAACCAAAATTTGTTAGATTTTACTAATTTTTACGCGTATTTGGGGCCCCCGTGGCCTGGACAAAATAAAACTCTTTAAAATAATAATCTTACATTCCTCGCGTACTTTTTTTACGCGTATTTGGGGCCCCCGTGGCCTGGACAAAATAAAACTCTTTAAAATAATAATCTTACATTCCTCGCGTACTTTTTTAGACGTATTTGGGGCCCCCGTGGCCTGGACAAAATAAAACTCTTTAAAATAATAATCTTACATTCCTCGCGTACTTTTTTAGACGTATTTGGGGCCCCCGTGGCCTGGACAAAATAAAACTCTTTAAAATAATAATCTTACATTCTTCGCGTACTTTTTTTACGCGTATTTGGGGCCCCCGTGGCCTGGACAAAATAAAACTCTTTAAAATAATAATCTTACATTCCTCGCGTACTTTTTTAGACGTATTTGGGGCCCCCGTGGCCTGGACAAAATAAAACTCTTTAAAATAATAATCTTACATTCCTCGCGTACTTTTTTAACGACATTAAATTTGATTGAACGAAGTTTTCATGATTAATTTGTTTTTCATGATTTTTTTATATTATTAATGTTTCTTACGGACGTTGGGGGCCCCCTGGTTTGGGGGCCCCGTATATTTGATACGGCTGATACGGCTGATACGGCGGTAGTTACGCCCCTGATTCTTACGAAAACATACTTTTCAAATGAAATAAAGTATTAGAGTATAATGTAGAAACAATATTTCTGAGCACGCGTCCTCTTGAGCCGGGGCCCCCTTGGGCCGGGGGCCTGTGGCATTTTGCCACCCACGCCACCCTATAGTTACGCCACTGCCTATTCTATTCAGTTTTCTCCTTGTATATTAGTGTAACATATTTATCATTCTCAATACATATGTCCTAATTCAAATCAGATTCAATCTACTCAAACCCCTTTTCAAGATTCCCCCCTCTGGCATGTTACTATCAGAACAGTAGCAGGTACAAATAAAGTCAAAACTCAAAAAACCACGCCAATCCTTTATTAAATGTAACGTCACAAAGGTCACAAAATAAAATTATTAAAAAACTATGTTCGGACGTATTTTCGTTTCATTATATTGGCCATGAAGGTGACAATCTTCATGGCATTGAGCTTTTACACGGGATGGTTGCTATCACTGATACAGGGGATAGCGGAGAGTTTAATGGGACTAATTGTTCACTTCTAAAAGTGAAGTCCGCGAAAAAACATCTTTAATAAATAGTAAATAAAAAAAACACACCAATTCCATATTAAATGCAACAAAGAACATTTTAGAATATGTATTATCTATAGATTTAGGAATAGTTTACATTTTTCCAATATTATTTCAAGAGTATTCTATCCAATTACAAATTCAACAATTTGGTTGTTGAAAGCCATGATGTATTGAATGCAGTTATGCTGCTATATTTATAAATAATATGAAATTTCATCTCCAGATTAGTAGACACAGCCCCGATCACGAATTTCAATAAGATGTTTTAGATTCAACTGTAGACCATCAGATCCAAACAGTAGTGACATCAGTTTTCACTTATAATTAAAAATAAGAAAAAATCAATGTGAAAATAGCCCTTACCCAGCATTGCTGGAACCAATAAAAAGTCACTAGTATTACAGAAATTGTAATGATAAATTTACCAAAAAGAGATAGGCCAACCATTGAGTTGCCATCTATAAAGCCATGTTATTAAGAAAGTCATTACAACAAGCTCGGAGACTATTAAGTTCTGACTGCTCTTAATAATATATAAAAAATATTATTTAGGTTTAACTCATATGGTCTGTAAACAACTCTGATTGTTGTATAATATGAAAAAAAAAATAGGTTTATTTATGATATCCAGTAGAGATAAAAATATATTCATGGTCTAACTTTACATTACTATGCTTCATATTCAACAGATGATGTTGCAATTTTACACCAAGTACATGATATCTACAACAATAGTGCATTAAACAGAGCACAATACCTGATTGTTTTTTTACTATAAAAAGACTGATAAAATCTGAATTGCTTTTCAAATTATCACATATAAATCAGAAAACAGCTGGCAAAAATGGACACATTCAATGGTAATACCTACTAAGAGCATTTTTATTCTTTTTACTACAAAGAACTGTGTTTTGCTTTAAAACGTTCAAAACGACGACATAAATAGTAAAACAAACGCACATGTTCTTAATAATCATGTAAATGAGAATTTTTCTAAGAAATCTATTCATAAAAGCAATGCTCGCTGTAAGGGGACATAAATTCTTAAAATAAATCCTATTAATGACAACTTTGTTTCGAAAACCATTTATGATTTGTGCAATGTAATGTAAAATACATACATAAACTAAAAACGAGAAAAGTCCATACTTCAATTATTTGCACTTGTATATCAATTACTGTGAAATTATGATAAATTCGCTAGAAAGAATATTAAGATAAGACCAGCATGAATGAAAATAAAATGTTATATTGATAACGTTAAAAGTTTATGAATCATTGAATTAGTTTGTATTTATACTTAATAAATTGATAAAGCTTGCAACAAATTGTGTACTTTCAATATTTGAGTAAGAGACATCAATGAAATCAGAAATAAAATATTTGCAATGGATAAATCAAACAAAAGGGAAGATTTTAAAGTTAACAAATTTGCAGATTTTTTTATAATAGTATTTATTTAAAATAGCAATAATCTATGTTGACGAAATGTAAGTGGATGTATTATTTTAAACGAAAAACTGCAATGATGATATTAATTGCAAAATGTAATTAACATTTAGATAAGTTTTTTTTATATATGCAATTTAAATCCACTGAATACATGGCTAGCCAAAGAGCACAAGTTCTGACTGAAAGGCTTTTGGAATTAAATGTAAATAAAGTATATGTGTCGTTGCATATATATAGTACTTAAATAAATCATTTTAAAACAGAAAATTAACTTTAACAGTAGTATAGTGGTTCCAGCGTTTACAAAAATAAAAAATTGCTGAATTATAACAAATTTGTTGAAAATAATCTAGTAATAATTTGATCCTGAATTGTAGATAATATAGATAGAAATTTTCATTTGAAATTAATAGTGTGAATCTTTATATTAGTATAAAAGTAGGTGAAGCAGCTAATTAATTATTTAAATTAAAATTGAGGCATAACCTTAATCCGTACTTAAATAATAGTAATTAAAAATTATATTTCTAACCATAATTGTATTAATTTAATATTATATCAATATAATATAAATAAATATCTTGAAATGCAGAAAAATTAAAGGACTGACATGTTAAATAAGTAAAAGTCAATTCCCACATAATATAAACAACACAAATATATAATTTTTTTTGTATAATAATAGAATAAATCCTACCTGATCCGGGCAGAAATATCCAAATCCAACTATCCCTGCTATGACCAAAAAGAAGCAAAAAATAATAGTATTTTTAATTCGCGATTTGGATTTCATCGTATTGTAATCATAAACACCCAATAAAGCTAAATCACTTTCACTTTCATCAAATACACGCTTCTGCATTTCCAGATTCTTCATAGTTCATGATCACTCACGTTTTATGTAACATTTTCAATTAAATAATAAAAATTGTCCAATTTCGGACAAGGACAATGTTTACACTCGATTCGCAGAATACGACTGACAGCAGCTTGACGAGTTGCGCCATTTTGATGCAGTCAGCGCCACAGCGCCTCTGAAGAGAGTGACAACTAGCTGAAGTTAGTTGTGGGTAAAAATTGTTGTGCCATCTACTGCTAAGTTGGTAGACATTCATCTTATATTTAAATAATGAAACTGAAATTTAAATATTTTTATCTAGTTAATAAAATGCTAAATTTCTTTTTATAATAATTATAATAACCCATTAATTATAATTAAAAATAACCCATTCCTAAATAAGAACTTACAAATTTTTTTATTATTTTTCCGCCATCTGTTGGCACCAACAGCAATCGCTAACGTCATTTCTGTTTGCAACGTGACATTTTTGAGGATCTTGATAACGCAATCTGCAGTTATTCGATAAAATGACAGTTATGTTATTTATTGTTGATAATTAGTTGTTAATGAAATGCAATTAGTGAAAAATTAGTTTATTATAACGTTGATTACTCGCTAAGTAATATGTGAACTGAAATACTTATTATAACCTAAGTTGTAGAACATATTTTTGTATATTTGTAAATTTTAACGTGTTAAAATGGATATGGAAATCGAAGAAATACAGTCATCACAGCCTAGTTTTTTGTCAAGGTTTTGTACGCATTTATCACAAACAATACAACGTAAGTAAGAATGTTTTGAAATTCCCATGGTGATAAAAATTCATACTTCGAATGTGAAGAAAACATTTTATATTACAATATTAATATGATTAAAGTATCTAATACCTTCCTTATTACCTTATTTTCTAACACTGTACTGAATTGCTTTATGTTACATTATCAATCTGATGTAACCTAAAATTTGTTCCAGGTTGGCTGGACTATTCCGTTCCCTATACTAAATATAGATGGATAGCTGCTATTCTGCTTGTAGCATTACTTTTATTACGAGTCCTAACTACACATGGATGGTATATAGTCACATATGCTTTAGGAATTTATCATCTGAATTTATTTATAGCATTTTTAACACCTAAAATGGATCCATCATTAAATTTTGATGATGATGAGGTAACCTTGTAATAAATATTGATTTAAAAATCAATCTTCCTTTCTTTAAATTTATTTTCGATGTTTATTCAAGGGGCCTGAATTGCCAACCTTAGCTAATGAAGAGTTTCGGCCATTTATTCGAAGACTACCAGAATTTAAATTTTGGTTATCAGTTGTTGTCAGCACACTTATCGCACTGTTTTGTACAATGTTTGACTGCTTCAATATACCAGTATTTTGGCCAATTCTAGTATTCTACTTCATAACACTATTTCTGGTTACGATGAAAAGACAAATAAAGCACATGATAAAGTATCGATATTTACCATTCACACATGGTAAACCTAGTTACCAACCTGTAGAAGAATCATTGTGATTTGTTTCTGAAAATAATCACAATTTAAATCAATTTGTTATTGAAAGCAAAATTTAGATTTTTTTTTGTTATATTCTGTTATTTAAATCTCGTTTTAATACATTATAATTTTATTGCTTATAATATAGTTAGACTTATATGAATATATATTTTTTTAAAGATTTACTATGTACATATATTTTAAAGCGTTCTAGTTAACTATTTCTTGTATTTATTAAATCATTTTTGAAACATGACAGTATTTAATTTGTAATTAATAATCCTTAATTATAAAAGTGTATGCAGAGGAATTATGTGCCGAATGTTTGTCACAAAAAAATATTTTTCTAAAGTTGTACTTAATTATTAAATGAGCTATGTACATATGTATGCATGTATAATTTTACAATTTAATGACTTTTCACAATGTTTAAATTAATTAAATGAAATAGTAAGTTACCAAGTCAAAATTAATAGTACATAAATGACTATTATGTAATAGATAAATAAAAGAAATGGAATTGTTATGACTTGAATGTGTAACATTTCCACAAGAAATCTTGTAACACTAAGCCATTTATATATACTTATTGTTAGATAAAAAAATATTTATGAAATATATGCATATAAATATTATAATCCATGCATTTATCTTTTTTTTATAACTTTTCATTAATATACTAAATTAGTATTTTTTAGATTCAAAGAATATTCTGATCCACAAATCTTTTGACATATTACACAGTTACCTTGTAATAATTTATCCATCACACCCAATCAGAACATAATTTTCTTTCAATATTGTTGAATGAACTGAAAGATCCCATAAAATAGAACAGACAACATTCACTTTACTCAAAATTCAATACAACCCCAAAAATCACTATTGCACAATTATTTACTTTCTAAAAATACACTGTTAAGTTTTCTGGCAAATTGGTTCCATTGCGGTGTGGTATGGGGTCATCATCAGTCTAAAACAATATCATGCCATTAAAATAATTATTTAACTTGTATAATTTTTAAATCAATTAGTATCAAAACTAGAGTTGCCTACAAATTATGAAACAAAAATTACCTTAATTTCTTGACCATTCTCCCAGCTAAGTTTCTTAGCTCGTGTTGGCATTCCACTACCTTGAACCCACAGACCAGTAGCGCGCCCTTGTTCGTTGGCGCGTGTAACTCCTGATGTTGTACCAGATAACTCTGATGTTTCAGGTGTAGGGCTTTCTTCTCCGCACTCGTACATACCATTTCTCTGTGACGCTCGCGACATTATACCTGGAAATTATATAAAAATATAATGAAAACTATTACTTTATATTTACTTCTTTGGCATTATTTTGATAAATATATTACGAATTATTGATAATTGCTTTACTTACTTCGAACTGTTGCAGTATAATCCGCTTGAGCTCTTCTTTCTAAACTATTAGCAATAATTGTGCTAGCCCCGGCACTAAGTGTGCTTTCCGATCCTCCCAAACCATTTGCAGAAACTCCTGCACTTCTAGCAAGCGCACCTCCAATCATACCTAAACCGCCAATTGTATGCTGTGGCGGTTTCTGTTGGGATCGTAAAAAGCCCCCTGTATCGTTTACGTGTATACGATTTCTAGACATTCGTTTTGGTTTCTTGCTGCTGAGAAAAAATTGTATTTAGTACCACATTTGTTTAAAACTGAGTAGAAATATTTGTGTTTATACAATAGACATAAAAATTTAACATTGGGCTTAATACTTACACCTTATATATATAAACCGAAAGTGCTGCAATAACAACCGCAAACAAACCAAGCAGTGCGGTAAAAGCCGTAACCAAACCCCAATCGGCTAAAGTACCACCTCTCGTTGGAGCACCTCTACCAATAGCTCCTGCACCCGGTGCTCCACCAACTCGCACCGTCACTGGAACTGAACTCGAGCGTGGCGGTACCCCGCTATCCGTTGCCGTGGCTACTAAATGAACCAGAACGCCACCGGAGCTATCATTATTAGATTTACCATTTCCGCCTAAAAGAGTTTCTATAGCGCCAGGCCGAAGAAATAAAGCTCCACTTGGATCCAACGAGAACATGCTGGAGAAATAGTAAGTTAAAATATTGATCAACTGACCAGAACTGTACGAAATTCGGATTTACCTCGAATAACTTCCGCGTAAAGTCAAGGTAAGAACATCGCCTCTATCGCCATCTGCTGCTTCTAATCTGCCAAGTAGTAAACCAGCAGACGTCGTAGGAGTTCCTTTGCTTCCTGGCAATCCTGGTGCAGCAAATTCATAATGTGCGCGTCGAAAACGTGGTTCCCAGTCGTTGACATTGACTACAGACACATCCAATAATGCTGTAGCATTCTGAAATCATATGACAAATAATCCGATTTAAAATACAAATCAAAAATATATATTTTACATACTTTAATTTATTAAAATCCAAAACAAAGTAATTTTAACTCACAGCACGACCATCCGTAGCTAATATATGACACCGATGTTTGGTAGCAACTTCGTAATCGAGGCTCGCCTTCAAAAGAACCTCACCTGCAGGAGATATTGCAAAAAGACCTCGACAACCAGCTTCAATTAAGGAATATCGAACCGCCTATAAAAATAGTGGGCAAAATATACTTAATTTTAAATATTTAATTATTTACTTTATATATGTAAATACGTTAAAACAATTTTTTACCGGATCTCCTGGTCTATTCGTAGGTAGCATTATTAGCCTGGTGCCCACAGGCGAATCTTCTGATATATCAATATTAAGTTCGGATTGAAGAAAAATCAACGGAGCTCTGATAGCTCCATTTGAAGATGGTCCATAGCCTGCACGTGACACTATTAACGTGGCAAGTGCATATCTATCAGAGTTATCTTCCTGGGTTGCCTAAAAAATAAATTAAAATAAATTATTTAAAAAACATATAGTTTTATTAGATTTATTAGATAATAGAAAATACTTTTAGACTTAGCATTTAATGAACAAATTCCATTATTTTCGTAACTACCTTCAAAACAAGAGTGACTGGTTGTACCAGGTCACCAGACTTCAGATCAGCGACTAATGTCAATGCACCTGTTTTGGGGTCAACCCTGAAAAGCGAAGACGCCGGAGGTGCTGGTGGTGCTAATGAATACGTTAAAGAAGCCCTTAATCCAGCGTCTTGATCAATTGCCCCTATTGGTCGAGGTAATGTCCGTAATATAGCCCCCTAGAAGAATATTAAGAAAATAAATGAAACTAATTATAAAAAATAATAAATCATTAGTATAATTTATATATAAATTGAAGCTTACTATAAAACCCAAAAAATCTTGAAACTTATATACATATGTGGGATACATCAAAACTAATAACAATAATTTAAAAACCTCTCAGACTATTTAAATAAATTTATTATATTTATTATTTATTTATGTAAATAATATTTTTAAACTAAAAAAAAATATTTGTCAGAAGTGGGATTCGAACCCACGCCCTCATAGAGGACCAGAACGCTCGGCCTGTTCACACAGGCAAGGTTAACCTTGAGTCTGGCGCCTTAGACCGCTCGGCCATCCTGACATATGGAAACGAGTTACTCGAACGCGATACATATTCCGAACAACTATTATTAATTATTCTACTTTAATAGTAAATGAATCGAATAGAAATATATTCTATATTATTATCGATAATATTAAAAAAGGCTTTAAGATTATAAAGATTTTTTTTTATATATAAACAAACATTTTAGTATTTAATTTCCTACCCTTCTAGCCCCTTCAGGAACGATGGCAGTATAAGCTTCGTCCAAGAATTTTGGATTTTGGTCGTCAGCATCAGCAACAAAGACCTAATTAAAATAAAATACTCATTAAACAAAAAAACATTTTCAGAATCATTGCATTATTAGAAATAATTTGTACATTTTTTTTTAATTCTGTATATTATTTTTAAAATTTGAATAAAAACTTAAAATAATATCATGAACATGTGTCAATTAATTAATGTGATATTATAGGCGAACAAATGGTTTCGATCTTTACAAAGTCATATAACAAGACTCCGTGGCGCAACGGTAGCGCGTCTGACTCCAGATCAGAAGGTTGCGTGTTCAAATCACGTCGGGGTCAATTCATTTTTTATCATTTTTCATTATAATTTATAATTAATTATGTTACATAGAAGAAATTTTAATTACACATATCTATTTTTTTATCATATCATACATACAATTCACCGCATTCTACAACAAATTGCATTCTTCATAAGGAATACATTTCCTTTATAAATGAAATATTAAGCGATAAATAATGAATACATTTCCTTTGTAAATGAATTATTAAGCGATAAATGATATAAAATATTAATAGTAAACAAAACTCACATCTAATTTTGTGTCTGTAAACTTTGGAGGATTTCCTTGATCTTGCGCTCTTAATCCCACTGTAAAATTGGGCATAGTCTCAAAATCCAAAGGCTTCCTTAAAATTAATGTGCCTTCCAGAGGCGTAACAAAAGCAAATATATCCTAAAATGTAAATATAAAAACAATTATGTAGAAATTTATGTTACTGCATATATAAATATAAATGTATTATGTGTAATGAATAATTAGGAGAGAGTATTGAAAAGTTAATATTACCGAATTTGGTCCTGGTAATACAGAATATTCCACAGTAGAAAAAGGACCTTGTTGATCCGCATCAACAGCCCTTGCACCTTGCAAAACCCTAAAAATAAAATATATTTATAAAGAGGCAATTAATAAATGTTATGATAAATAGCTTTTTTACATAAGAATATAATATAATAGTAAAGTATATAAAACAAAAAATGTTAAAATAATAAATTTGAAAAGAAGAAAAAATATTTCCCATACCGGGAATCGAACCCGAGCCTCCTGGGTGAAAGCCAGGTATCCTAGCCACTAGACCATATGGGACTTGGAAGAGAAGAGAATAACACTGTATATCAATATATTTACCTTGTACCGGGCACGGTCACTTCTGACAGTGTGAGTGTATAAGGAGCGCCTATCCATTGCGGAGCATTGTCATTAGCATCAG